TACAATTATTTAATTTTGCAGTTCGACAAAAATAGATTATTGTGATCAATTTGTAATTCACTGTTATACGTAAATACGTGCATGAAACAAACCAAAAATCATTTGTGTCCACAAGATTGAAGAAGCAATCCATTGGCTCTATTATTCTCTGTATTAAAAAACCAAAAAAGGAATATCCCCATTCTTTAATTAAATAAAAGATTCCTTTCTCTATTACAATGCCTTAATTGAAAATTCTAGTGTCAATCATTCATGTAACATAGTTTCGAAAATTTACAATTATTTAATTTTGCTGTTCGACAAAAATAAATTATTGTGATCAATTTGTAATTCACCGTTATACGTAAATACCTGCATGAAACAAAACAAAAATCATTTGTGTCCACAAGATTGACGAAGCAATCCATTGGCTCTATATTCTCTGTATTAAAAAACCAAAAAAGGAATATCCCCATTGTTTAATTAAATAAACTCTATTACAATGCCTTAATTGAAAATTCTCGCGTCAATCATTCATGTAACATAGTTTCGAAAATTATTTGTTTTACTCAAAAAAAAAGAGCAAAAAAAAGCGTTACCTTATACTACAAAAAAAAAAGTGGTCCCGACAGTATATATATACCTGCTAGCTAACTTTTTCAAAAAAAAAAAAAGATTTAAAAAAAAAATAATCACCCTCCTTCATAATAATTATTAACCACATTAAATGTATCGATCCTCTAAGAAAGTGAAATTGATATCAACCTGTGATGTCTGCCAATTTCGCAAGGCTGAATGTGATAAGGAACGACCAGAGTGCAGTACTTGTAAAAAATCCAATATAGCCTGTACTTATGAGCGTGCTGCTTTCGTTAAAGCATTACATGATAAGCAAATTGAGGAAAAAGACGAATTCAATCATTTAACGCAGTTTGGACCATTATATGATGAATCAGATTATTTATCGATTGTCAATGAAAATCAGCAGAATGTCGATAATGTTCCCGTAAGTTAATTTTTTTTTTGATCTTAGTATCAAGTTAGATAAGATTTTTTTTTTTAATCGTGATCACTTCTAATCAATATAGGATAACACTTTAGATGAATTTCCTCAATGTTTTGCCGATTTCCGGCAGGTTTGTTTTTCTTTTTTTTTCCTCTTTTTTTGACTGGTAAAAAAAAGACCAACCTTATATAATGAATTTTGTGCTCTGACAGAACGATTCTACTGAATCCGAACGAAACTGCGCAATTCCAACCAACCCTACCACATCTCTCGCCTCAGTAATCGTCACATCAACAGCCACATTCCCACTAACAACCGAAACAACTGAATCAACGCGATTCGATTTATCCGATATCGAACAATCTACCTCATCAATATATAATATTCTTAATGATTTACCACCACAATCATGCGAATTTCTTCTTAACCAGTATAGGTTTTGAGATTAGAATATTCAATGTTGGACATTTTTATTTTATATTTATTTTATATTTAGCGGTCATTTTATGAAATTTTTCATTCTTTTTTATATTATTTATATTATCTTTATAAAATATATTTCTTTATTGTATAAAAATAAAATACGAATACGGTATTTTACAAATTCTTAAAATACCCCAGGTAATTTATAAATATATAAATCGCATCACGAATCATGTCGCGAAATAAATAGTTTTCAGTAAATTTTGATTTACTATCATATTAGTCAATGCATTTGAAATATCAAAAAAATAAATTCCTAAGTAAAAACATTTTATTTATTATAATTCAATATTTTTAATATTAAAAATTGTCTAAGCTCCTGGATTAATTAGTAAAATTGAGGGTGTGGTACGATGTGTATATAACATCTAATCTGTATAACTTATATATGAAGCCGAAATTAAAATCTAAAAGTCGAAATATTTCGATTTGAAGATCGAAATTAAAAGTCGAAATGCATTAAAATGGTTAAAATGGTTGAAAAGTTAAAAATACAATTTAAAAATCATGGAAAAGTAAAAATTAAAAAAAAAAAAATACTATTACTATTACTATTACTATTACTATTACTATTATTATATTATTAAAATTTTGCATTTATTAATGCATCATTATTACCATGATCAAAATTAAATTAAAATCAAATAATTTTTCATGATTATTTCATTTTTAATTTCTGATCTTTCATTTTCATTTTCATTAAGATTATTCTCATATTTAATTCTTCTTTATAATTCTACGATTTTGATTAAATACTTGAAAGGTTATTCTTTAATAAAATCTGAATTGATATAATTCATTATTTTTGTATTGTAACAATTAGTATAAAGCATAGTGAAGGACTATATTTTTCTACAAATGTCTGAATGTTCATCCGCTCAATAATTAAGTCAATGCTAATTGGCTTTTGCAATATTTTTTTGGTTAAAATTGTTTTAGACTTAATAACAGTCTCAGTTTCCTAATAAATATACAATTTTGCTATTGCCTTTATCCATTTAATATTTAAATTATTTTAAAAAATTTAAAATTAATTACTTTATAAGTACATTAATTCTAAAACAAAAAAAAAAAGATCTTTTACAACTATGTGATATTATTAAAATATTTTAATGCTAATATTTGAATAAAATTACCATATTTTATAAATGTTACCAAGTTTTTACACTCTTATAATTCTGATACATATAAAAATTTATAAGGTTTTATTTAGCTTTTATAAACTATAAGTTTGATTTACTAAATAATTAGATGAATTTTATCATCACCCATAAAAATCAAAAATTTAATAGCTAAATAGTAGACTTTTTTATTTAAATTCTTTTCTTAAATAATATCAATATATATACTATATATTAAAAAAATTATTAAATATTTAGTAGCAATCAAAGTATTATATCACTTAAATAAAAAATTTAAAATAGTAATGATTGATATTTTTATTAATAATACTTAAAGAACTATTTTTTTGACATATTGGTTACATATATAGTGTAAAAAGCTAAAATATATTATATTTTTCTTAAATAATTGTCTTAACAAAATAGATTTTATTCTTTTATTAAAGAATTGTATTTGCTTCTAATTAGGATATAGAAGGTCTAATAAAGTTCAGTTAAAGTTCTAAAACCTATAGGTTCTAATATATAGATAGATTGATTTAGACTTTATAAAAGTTCTGTAACTTACATAGGACTGTAATCAAGATTAAATTCAGTCTGTTAAATAATATTTATTTTAGTATCTGAAGGTATTATATTTTAAGATTGAAAGCTATTGGAATCTTTCAATTCTTTCAATTTCAAACTATTCAATACCAATAAATTTTATTTAGAAATTAGAAAATTTTCAAAAATTTTTATAAAAACTTATAATTTTTCATTTTTTAAATTGACATTATTTTATAATTTCCATTTTATTAATAATTATAATGACGCTAGATTATGTACTTTTTTTTTCTTTTAAATAATACTTTTCTTTTAAAATTCCAATATGTAATTAAAAAGTTTTATTAGAACTAAATACCTTCTTAAATTTCATATATTTCACGTTATAGAGTTGAGAATTTACAAAATGAAATTATGTGATATTTCAATAAATAATTAAAGAAATATACAATTAAATAAAAGTTTAATGGATAAATATTTAATTAAAAACTAAAATATAAAATACAAATAAATATTAGCCAATAAATAAAATACTTATTGAAAGAAAAGGATAAATTACTCACCAAAATAAAAGAATAAAATACTTACTGAAAAAAAGGTAAATTACTCATTAAAGGAAAAGGATAAAATAGTTACTAAATATCAAATAACTTCCAAATAAAGAAAACAAAAGAAATTTTAAAAAGAAAATATGATATCATAAATTATATTATAAAAAAGACAGAAATAACAGAATACTTAGACAAGAAATAATGAAAATAAAAAAATAGTTAAATTAGGAATAATAGAAATATCAGATTAGTTAAAATAAAATATCAGAAATATTAGAAAACTATAATGAAAAATAATAATAATAACAAAATTTAGAAAAAGATTTTACAAAAATTATAAAAATGTTGGAAGAAAAAAATAAAAAATGTAAAAATAAAAAATTAGAATATCTAGAATATACAGAATTAGAAAATCAAGAAATTATAGGATTTATAAAATTTCTCTATATAAATACAGATACCAGAAGATAATAGTCTTAGCTTAGATTAAGTTTGATTTTAGGGAATATAGGGTAGATCTTCTTTTATTAATCCTATAATATGAAAGTAACAATAATTTAGAATACTAGAAATAGACTAAAAAGAATAAATAAAACTATAAGATAATAATAAAATCTATTGAAAAAATATATGAAGATTCTGATGATAAAGAATTAAAGGATTAAGGAAAAGAAGATTTACTGATAACATGAATTCTACTGATATCAATAAAATAATTGAATGGAGGGTTAATAAAAGAAATAAGAAGAAACTAAAGAAACAGAAAAATATTGAAGACAATAAAAAGATAAATGAGATATTGACAATGATAATTTATGCTGAGTATTTTAAAAATTAAAGATAATTGAAATTATAATTAAAAGAAAATATTAATAATACAGAAAATAAAGATTTAAAAAATATTATAATCTTACAATAAACTTTAAAGATTAATTGATAATAAAGAATATAAGAAGATAATAATATTATGATATTTTGAATTAATAAACTAAATATCTTAAACTAAACTACTTTAATGAAAATAAGTTTCTTGGATAAATAAAAATTAATTTGTAAAACAAATTCTCTTGAAGATGAGTAGCAGAAATAGTTCAGAAAAGTACAGTTCTTGTTGAAGCTAATGAAATCATAAAATGTCATATATTTGTAAAATACAAGTTTTGATAATTATAAAGTAAAAAATTCTAATCCTTTTTTAATCTAACTTTTTGAACATAATAATATATGAGATGTATCTGATTACAATCTATTTCTTATATAAGTTGTAGTATTACTTACTATAGAATAAGCCTACTCATATACAACACTTGTAACCTGAATAGATAAGTAATCTTATGCTATTGCTTCTAATGCTAAAAAATTTTGAAAGTATGCTTTTCACTATAGTAAAAATGTATTATTATTATTATATAACAATATAAGATACCAATCAAGTTCCTTAGAAATTCTAGATAATGTTCTTGTAATACTTAAAGCAATATTATTATTTAATTTTTTTCTCTTTAATTAATTAAAGTATTCAAAAATACTTATTATTTCATCATTATTTTGATTAATTATAGATTAAGGTTATAGTATATGATACTTAGTTAAGCAATTTTTGGCGGCATTAATTGCTTTAGTTGATTCTTCTCCAATAGCAAATAAAGTAAGTTTTGTATATAGATCTAATATTACAGCTACTAAGATAAAAGAATCCACTATATCTTAGTATTGATCTATTTTTTGAAGCATTGATAATGCTAATTCATTTTAACTAAATCCTTTTTTTCTAATATAATTATCTAGATTCTAATAAATAAAAATCTAACATTAGAGATTGTAGAATAAAAAAAAATTAAAAATAATACTGTTATCTTTTCTAATAGTTCAAATAAAATAAGAATATTCTATTTAATTTAAAAAAATTAATTAATGTAAAAAGGATTTTATATTATTTATTATTATAAAAAAATATTTGAAGTTTTCAAACTAAATACTTACATTTAATTTTGTCTATCCTTATATATCTGGTATTAAATTCTTAATATCTTGATCTGTTGCAGCTAACATTTCATTAAAACACAATATTTTTTGAAACTTTATAATTATATAATAGATATTATTCTATCTGGTTTCTAATTATTATTTATAATACTGCAAATTTTCTACTAAATATAACTTTTTCAAACTATTATATCTTCAAGATAAATGTTTAATTTTTTCATTATATCATAAACTTTAATAATTTCTTCATTAATAATGTTAATTTCCTACTGTGCTAAATTTAAAATATCTGTAAAGTACCTATAGTATCAAAAAATTTAATCATTAAGTTCTTATGTAAGTTTTTCTGCAATTATTCTTCAATAAACTACTATAGCTGCTTTATTATCAGTAATTAAAACTAAAGTTTTTTCAAGTAGATTAAATTCTTTTAAAACTAATTTTATTTTAATTGCTATATTGATTTCAGTATGATAAGTAATAAATGAAATAATATTTAATAAAAAATTTTTTAGATTCTAATTATGTTGATATAATAAATTGATAAATTAAAAAATATATTATTATTATAATATAAAAGTCTACATATCTATTGTTAAAGATACCAAAGTTTTTAGTATTTTTTCATTTTGAAAATTAGTATTTTGAATCAAATTTATTAATCATAATTTTAAATATAAATTTTTAATTGAATGAAAAGATTGTATATTATCAATTACTCACTCTATTATTGCAATATCTTATTTTTTTTTTTCTTTTTCAAACCAAGAATCAGTTCACCTGAAATTCAAAGTACTTTGATTTTTTCCTATATTTTTTTAACTTTCTCTATCTTTATTTTATATACAAATTCTAAGTGTTATTTTAAAGTTGAAATTTTAGTTTTTTTTTCAAAAATAGTTTGACATTTACACATTTACAACAAACTGGACTTTCTAGATATTGAATTATTTGTTTATTAAAATATTTTTATATTGGTAAAATTTGATGAGATTGAGATGAACTTTCATTCTTACTATTATTATTATTATTATTTTTTTTATTTTTTCTAAAAGGTAAAGATTCAAGTTTATTAATATTATCATAATTTTCAAAACCTTCAAAATCATAAATCAAATAAGATATTTTTGCTAAAAATTTTAAAATGCAAAACAAAATTTTAATGATAAGAAAACATGATGCATAATACTAATTAAAATTTATATATTATGTGATTATATAGTTAACTCTTTCTATAACAAATTTTGATATAACAAATTTTACAATACAACAAACTTTCAGTGTTAGACAGATTTTTAAATATAAAAAAACCTTATTATACTGAATTTGATAATTAAAAATTCATATTATATTTAACGAATTAAAGTCAAAAAAATTATATATAAATAACCTTTTATATAATAAATTATCTCTATAATAAATTTTTTTGATATAATGAAAAAATGAATAAATATTTGCATTATATATTGTGGCTTGTATTTCATAATTTTTTTTATATATTTTATTTTTTACATATTTTTTTTTCTTTACATAATATCAAAAGTAAACTTAAAGAAACAACTTAATAAATCTACTAATAAACAAGATAAACCTTTAAAAAAAAATTTCTTATAGCTGTATAAAAAAAAGAACTTTGTTTGAAAAAAATATCATCACCTTTTTTAAAACAAAAAGACTTAGCTAATGAATATAATGTTAGTGAAAGTATGGTAAGTAATATTTTAAAGAAGAAAGACCATTAGCTTTTTATGAATATTAATTTATACCAAACCAATTTGAATCATGATAAGAAAACTCATTCTCTCTTATTGAAGAAGTGTTAATAATTTAGGTAGATAACTCACTCAAAGCTAACTTCATTATTACAGTATTTTTTCAATAAAAGCCTTGAATTTTGCTTTTTTATTAAAGGAGAATAAGTTTAAAGGATCTATTAGTTGAATAACCAATTTTAAAAATAATACAATCTTAAACAGTATCATATACATAGGGAAGCTACAAGTACACTGCTCAAAGATCTCAAAATAATAAGAGAGAATCTCTGGCAAATATTAAAAAATTATAATTCTAAAGATATATTTAATTGTGATAAACAGGACTATTTTGGAAGATAAAACCATATTGAATGATATCAAACAAACAAACATCAGGAAAAAAATAATCAAAGGATCATATAATAATTCTATTCACATACAATGCACAAAGGTGAAAAGCTGACACTTTTGTTCATACATAAGTATGAAAATCTTAGAGTTATTAAGAATATTGATAAATAAATACTTCCAATCAAATACAATTAGAACTAAAAAAGTTAAATGCAGGTTTTAATCTGAAATGATTACATAAAAAACCTTAATACAAAAATGAGAAGATAAAATCAGAAAATTCTTTTTCTTATGAACAATGCTCTAATATATGCTTTTTATAAAATTACCTATTTAACTAATATTACTATATAATTTCTTCAATCTTGTGATTAAGGTATCATAAATCATTTTAAGATAAGAAATGTAATTGATTTAATAATTTTTTAGTTAAAAATATAATTAACATTATTATATTTTATATTTTATTTATACTTAATTTTAATTCAACTTATTTTAGGCATAATATTAAAAGCTATATTTACAAAATCAGGTTAAAACTTTTGATAAATTTAATAAATACAGTATCAAACCCTTTGAAATTAATATTAAAAAATGTATAAAATACATTTATGATTTTTGCCAAATTTATAAAAAATTTTGACTACAAGTATAAGATAATGTTACAAATAAAATAATTAAAAATTAGTAGATTAAAGCAGATATTTTACCTAATAATAATTATAAAAATGAGAATAAAATTAGTATCAATATATTATTTGAATTTAAATGGTTAAAA